AGAGCCACTGTGGGCTCAGTAGGTCTGGGGCAAGATCCACGAGTCTGTACTCTTACCAAGCTCCCAGATGATACTGATGCTGCTGGTTCGAGATGCTTTGAGGAACGAGAAAGCCTCATTCACCCCCAAAGTGGCCTCAGAGAGTCTTCAGACCACCTGGCCTCACCTGGGATTCAGAAAAGATACTCCTCGCACAATAAGGTTCTAGTTCTGCAAACCACTAACTCTTGCCGGTCCCTCCCCAGCCTGTACACCCCTCCTCATTGCTTCCCATGGGGATGAAGATTATCTTGGAGGTGACAGTACCTGTTGCAGCCCCTGAATCAACCTCTAACAGGGACCCCAAGTGACAGAGTAGAACTGCCCCATTGAGCTTTCTAGCCTCTACAATCTTTACAGAAGCAGATTTCTATGTCTTTCTCCTGCAGAAGCCATTGACTAGATGCTTAAACAGTTTGTTTTTCCACTCCCTCCCACTCTTTCTCCTAAATTCTCAAACAGATCCACAGCCATTGAGCTGCTTCCAACTCATAGTGACTCTCCACCGAGCACCTGAAGCTGTGACTCTTTCCTGGAGGAGATTGCCTCATCTGTCTCCCTAAGAGCAGCTGGTGGATTCGAACTTCTGACCTTTCAGTTAGCAGACGCTTTCCGCTAACAACCATTTCCCCCCTTACAGTTTTATAAGCACATTCTTATGGGCCATGTGTGTGCTAATCATCTCTCCAGTTGTAAAGCAAATCGCACTAGAGTGTGTTGAACATGGCTTCTGCTAAGATGGTTGGTTACCTGCTGCCTGCTGCATATTGGTGTTAGCAATGACCAAGGTGCAAGGAGTGCGTGGCTGTGGGATTCACCCGTGGCTCAGTCATTCCTCTGAAGGGGCAAAGGGAAGCTGTCCTTTCCCATGAGACGTTGGGCCCTAGTCACCTGACCCTACCCTGCTTCCAGCAAGCATAGGAGCCACTCTTGGCTCCTGCCAGGCAAACCTCGGAAAGCCAGCCCCGTGGGAACAGCCGGTATCTCTGGGAACGGCCGGCAAACTCCAGCCGGAGGAATGCAGGTGGCAGTTTGGGCAGCTACCGCTATCCACTTGACCTCACTGCTCAACTTTCCCTGGGACGGTATTTTCAGACTGTTATCTGTTATTACAAAGCTACTTACCCTTGCCCTCTGCCTCTCTGGCTGGCATCTATGCGCACTGCCTAGGGCTATGTCCAGAGCCATTCCCCGAACTTCTCTGACTATAGAACCCCACTTTCCCTTTGCTCATGGAACACCTTATGTCCCTCACAGTGTTCTGTAGAGCACACTTTGGGGAAGAAGGTTGAATAGGGACTTAGAAAGCACCTTTAAGTCTGGTTTTTATTCTTCTCAAACACCAGAAGACCTACTAAAATCTTCCTAGAGTAATAAATGAGTGAACACCAGGGACTGGGGTGCCGGCACTATTCTAAACATTTCTTTAAAAACTCCCATAAAGATTCTGCATTGATTCCTATGAAACTCTTGTGAAGGGGAGGTCATTAGGGCCATCTTAAAGATGAAGCATTCAAGGCACAGAGACTTTAAGTAATTTCCTGAACGTCACTAAGATGAAGACAGACCGGACAGGTCAGCTGTACTGTCACCAAAGTAGGTGAAAAATAGCAATTCTCAGCCGTGACTGTGCATTTGAAATTCATGAGCTCCTGGGGAAAGAAAACAAACCTGCAAAGTCCAGACCACTACCCAGGCCAATCAAAGTAAAACTATTGTGTGCAAACTTCAGATGTGACTCCTTTTAAAAAGTTCCTCTGGTTATTCTAACGTGTAGGCTGAGGATCAACAGACTAGAGCAAGAGTTGTAAACTGTGACCCAGGAACCAAAAATCAAAACCAAAAAAAAGCTGTCCACTGCATTTGAGTTGGTGCTGACTCCCCTCCGGAAGACATCCCATCCCACCCCTGCCCCGGGTTTCTGAGACTATGAATCTTATTCGGGCAGATAGCCTCATCGTTCTTCTACAGAACAGCTGGTGGGTTTGAACTACCAACCTTTTAGGTAACAACCCAACATATACTTCACTATGCCTCTAGGGCCCCTAGCTACCTATTTCTATTGGTCTGCAGATGAGAAAACTTTTGCAGTATGATTTTTTTAAAGGATGTCTGGCTGTCTAGTGTGTAGGAAGTTGCACTGCCAACCCAAAGGCAAGCAGTTTGAATCCATCAGCTGCTCTAAGGGAGAGAGGTGTGCAATCTCCTCCTATGTGATTTGCAACCTCTGAAAACCTGCTGGAGTCAGTTGTGAGTTTATTCCGATGGCAAGGAATTGAGTTGTTTGTTTAAAGCCAAAAGAAGAAGATTTGGTGACATGTAGAAATGGAAATTTCAGTGCGCAGAGATGAAGGTTTTTTGAAACGCAGCCACCCACGCCCGTTGGTTTATGCATCCTGTATGGCTGTATTCTCACTATGGCTGAGTGGAATAACTGCAACCAACTACACAGCTTGGAAAGCAAAAAATATTTACTATCTAGTCTTTTACAGAAAAAGTTTGCAAACCGCCCTCCCCCCCCCCGAAGAAACTGGCCTCTGTGCCAGGACTGGAAGTTTAAGAAGGATTTAAGGAAGAACTTTCCAGCAGAGAGGCTGATTAAACCCTGAGGGACCTTTGGAGTTCCTCGCCCTGCTGTTAAGAATGATGCCAGCTACTACCCTTTGCAAATGCAAATGGGGCAGATTGTGCAAAGCAAAAAACCTGCTTTCACAGAGCCGATTCCAATTCATGGTGATCCAATTTCTGTCAGCACAGAACTACATTCTATAGCATTTCCATTGCAGATTGCAAGGTCTTTCTTCCATAGCAGCCTTGGCTGGATTTGAACTGACAGCCTTCTGCTTAGTAGCCAAATGCAAACCATTTGTGCTATTCAGGGACCAGGCAAAGAAATCAGCTCTGAAATTCCCATTGTCAGCTGCAAGTTGTGCTGGCCCTTCAGCTTCAGCCACACCTTCTGTATTTTCCATTGTAGATGTTTCAGAATCATCTAATCTATGCATGCGGTGCTGGATTCTCTGCCTGAGCCCACTTTCTGAGCCAGGCCAATGCTACAAACCAGTCCAGTGAACCAGCCCCTAAACCCAGACCATCAGTCACTGTCTGAGCTACACACCATGCAGTAGTCTGGTTTCAAACAGATAAAAAGCCTGGAGGGCTCACTTTTCAACCACCCACCTTTGATCTTGAAAGCACAAGATTCCCACACACCTCATACTTGAATAAGGAGATAAGAGCAAGGCATCTGGTTTCTCCTAGATCAGCCTGTTTTCCTTGGTGCCTGTCCCCTGACCCCTGACCCCTGACTGATTTTGCCAATGTAGTAAACAGTCCTCATGTCCTTATGAGTATAGCTCAGTGAAAGCTGTCCAGGCCAGCAAGGAATTCTGATGGGGGAGATTTTTGTCACTGGGAACCTGATTTGCCCTGGGTCAGAGCACAGCCAGGAGCATGACTGTAATTGAGAGGACTGAAATAGTTCCTTATAGTGACTCCTATAGCTGCTTCCAATGGGCATCATGGATCTGACCTATGGGAGTCTTCAAATAGCACCTTCACTTCAATAGTGCCACCCCATCTCCCTGGCCTGCAAAAATATGTGAAATGGGTGGATATGAGCCATATGTGTATATCTTCTTAAGACTCTGGTGGCCTACGGGGTAAGGAGCTGAGCTGTCAACTCCAAGGCATGAGGTTTGAATTCACCAATTGCTCAATGGAAGAAGGATGGGCAATCTCCTCCTATGTGATTTACTTCCTCTGAAAATCTCCTGAAGAGTTAGCTATGAGTCGGTTCTGCCTCAAGGACATATAACAGCAACATGCTTGCAGCCACTTATCAAAGAGCATAAAACACTAGACTAGAAATCATCAGGACAACTCCAAAGTGTTGGACCCAGGCTCCTTAGGACAGACCATAGTGATGTAAGGAATTATTTGGTCCACAAACAATCCAATTGCAGACTATCAAACTACTCCCAGAGAGCAGGACCCCATCTGCTCAAAACACACGAAGCACTTGACATGCATTTTGCTTTATATTTAAAAGATGATGTGCCTTTGTCCCAGGAGGAAAGAGAAAAGTCAAATCATCCTAACCCTAGTCACAGCGAAAGGAACTAGAAGGGAACACTTCCCCCCTGCCCCCCAAAAGCTCAGAAAACCCGGAGTAAGTCTTTAGTGTGTATGGGCCTTGAAACATGAGAACCTTAGTTCAGGTTTGGAGTCTAGCCCCACCATCCACTATTTAGGAGACGGTCCAGCAGTACGGTCCAGTCCAGAGCATCCCTGGGAGTTGAATAGAAATACAGAGTTCACTGCATAAAAACATGCATTTTAAATAGATCTTCATGTTAGAGAAGCGTTGATCTGGGACCTTGGACAAGTCATATAACTCATTGTGCCTCAGTTTCTTTCCCTGTAAAATGATGGTAATGCTGACTTAATAAGGCCGTGGTAGCTAATGAAACGAGATTATGTAAACCACATGTTTAGCACTGTGCCTGGTACATAGGAAGGTGTTTCATACTAGTCTCCTACCCTTGAGTTTCAGTCAAGGGACCAAAGCTCTTCTTTTAGGGAGTTTAAATGTCATCATTTGCTAAAGTATCTTGAATTTTTTTTCACTCTATGATGCTGTAGTGCTGCGATCAGACAGCAGAGGGCGCTCTCGACATTGCCATTGCGGAGAACGCGGTCAAGGATGCCAGGGCTCTGATGCGTCCCAAGGGTGCAGGTGGTGGGAGCGAGTGGAGGGTGCACGTGTGCTGCTCTTGGGCCTCTGGGCAGAGGGTTCTCATTCATCCAGCATCTGCCGCACCAGCGATCCTGGCCTGAACCTGCAGCTTCGGTCACTGGGTCCCCCACATTTGCTCTCTCATCGAGTTATAAACACTTTACCCAGTCTCCAAACCTCCTGGGCTCATCCTCAGACCGATGGGAGGGCCTTTCACCGGCCGCTAAACGTTGATGAAGGAGCCCTGGTCGCCATTGACTGTCTCCGGCTCCACACAGCGCCCTTTCCTCCTTGTGACCCTGCGGTTCCGGTGGAATTTGGCATAGCAGCGCAGCCCTGTGAGAAGGGAGCAAGGAGTCAGGGACAAGCCAGCCATTCGTGTCCCATGCTCTCCTCTCCCCACCTGCCCTCACATCTTCGTTAACACCCTCTGTTACTCTGCCATGCAACTTATCTCTACACAGCATCCTCAATGAACTAGTCCCCAGATCCCTTGATGTGGCTCTTGGTGACGCTCCCAACCTAATTCCTGAATCATCTCAAAAAGAAGCCTGAGGAGTAACTTCCGTTCTCACTCTCTCCTGGAGTCTGAGCCTCCAGGGAGGAAGCGAGAATTTTGATGGGACAATGAGCTGATCACAGAGGCAATGAGCAGATGGCACTTTGGAGGAAAACACAATTCCTGGAAAAGTGTACACTCCCTCCTTCCTTGAGACCCAGAGGAGGAACAAAGAAAGGATTCTTTGGCAGAGAGAACATCCACTGTGCACCCAGCCTGGCATCAAGCAAGCATATTCAGTACATCCACGTCTCACTCACCTGGTGGACTGGACTTGGAGGGTTTGGTCTCTGCACTGCACTGGACTTCCTGCACTTAGTATCTGTAGCCCACTCTGAACCTCAGTCTCTTCCTCTGAGGTTCTTAACCAGGCACACAGGTACCTAGAGACACTGCTTGCACGTCTTCCAGAAGCCTGCCTATTCTCTCACATTTCTGGTAGTTATCACTGCTTCTGTTCCTCCTCCCCAAAATCCAGCTGGTACAAATTTGGGGTTTTGTTTTTAGGGTTCAGGCACACCTTAGTCTTTAGGTTTTTTACATTTTTAAAAGTTCATTCACTGATGCACATTTTCTTGCCTCCCCCACTGTCCCCTCCAGTCCACTTTGCAATGCAGCTCTTGCTCTCCAGATTATTGTCATATTGTTGTTATGTGCCGTTGAGTTGCCTGCAACTCATAGTGACCCTATATACAACAGCTCTAAAGCCTGCCCTGTCCTCAGCCTGTCTCGCTGACTCTAATACATCTATCCCCATCAGCCCAGTTACTGTGTTAATCCATCTCGTCTGGGGTCTTCCTCTCCTGCGCTGTCCCTCCACCCTTCATACATATTACATATTCCTTTTGGGTCATTCTTCCCCTCGTCTGTTCTCATGAATCAGACTATGTCACAGCCTAGCTTAAAACCTGCTGAGACATCAAGTTACAATTTGGAATCCAAACCAGACTGCCCCCTTGTACCACCTTGTTTGTCAACCACTACAATCCAGTCCTGCTCAGGCAGGCTTTTCCTGCTCAAAGTCCTTGCCTTACTCTCCCTTCTTCCTTGAACATTCTTCCCTCTCTCTTGACCTCTGATTGTCAAACTCCTGGCTCTCCTGTCAGCTCCAAACATCCTTTCTGGAACAACCCCAGAGACTTTCTAGCATGTCAGCCTATAGTCTCTGTAGCCCTTATCACTTTCTAAAGATCTCCATTCATTTGTTTATTGCCTGTTTCTCTCTTTGGAATGGAATACATGAAGGCATCCACCACTGAGTCCCTGATGTCTAGAATGGTGCCTGGTGTACAGTGATGTGTTAGCAGCCACTGAATTGGTCCCTGACACAAGGTGACCCCTTGCATAACAGTCTCAGACCTTTGTGGTCTATAGAATTTTCATTGGGTGGTTGTTTTTGGTTTGGTGGGGTTTTTTTAGAAATAGATCTCCAGGCCTTTCTTCCTAGTCTGTTTTAGTCTCAAAACTTTCTTGAATCCTGTTCAGCATTTTTGCAACATGCAATCTTCTCCTAATGTTTGGACTGGGAACTGATCCTGGGACTCCTGTATGGGAGGGGGGAATTCTACAACTGAACCATGACTGCCCCAACCACAAAGCACGCACTCAGCAAATGTACCTTGGCTGATTGGGTGAATGAATGATGGAGCATAAGCAACTTTATTGCTTTTTGCTGCAGATAATTATTAACTGAGGACAATGTCAGTGCAAACAGAGCCTGGGCCTGAAGGTGGTTAAATAGAAGGAAGTGAGGCCAAATTCTCCCCCAAAGGAGAGTCGGATACTAATAGCGTATCAGCTGATAAGAGGTAAATACTGTTAGTTTTAGGTATTATAATGGTCTTGTGGCTATGCTATTAGTAAATATCTACATATCCCTAGGAGTCGCTTCCAATTCATATGAGAATAGGAGAAATGTGACACAGATTGGCCATGAGGTGACCATTACTAAAGCTTAGTGACAGGAAATGGGACTTAGAATCTTCTGACTTCTTTAGCACATGTAATAGATTAAATTGTGTGCCCCCACCTAGATATGTTGAAAGCTTAAACCCTAGGACCTGAGAATTCGACCTTACTTGAAAATAGAGTCTTTGAAATAGTAATAATTAGGGCATGCTGAGTCAGAATCGACCCATAGCTGTCCCTCCAGTGGGCTCCCAAAGCTGTAAACTGCATGACAGGAGTCACCCATTTTTCTCCCTCAGAGCCACGGGTGGATTTGAACCTCCAGAGGTGTGACCTTTGGATTGACAGCAAAATTCCTTAAGGACTACACCAGCAGAGCCCTCCTACCCCATGTTTGGAGTAGAGAAGACCCTAATTTCACATAAATAGGATCCTATGAAAAACAAATCCCAAACCCACTGTCATCAAGTTGTGATGTGTAACAACCATGTAAGCCATAGGGCTTATAGGGCTTTCAATCTTTAGGGATACACACTGCCTCCTTTTTCTCCCAGAGAAGGAAGAAGGTGGGTTCAAGCCACCAATTTTTTGGTTAGTAGCCCAGTTCCCTAACTACTGCGCCATGAGGGCTCCTTATTTATCCCATGAAACTGAAGACACAAAGATGCAAAGAGGAGACATGACTATGCAGCTCTGTCCCAACGAGGCCCTGGGGCTGCCAGGAGCTGAGAAGGACGAGAAAGAATTGCTCCCCAAAGTGTTGGAAGAGGGCAGGGCCCTGCCAGCACTTGCATTCTGAACGCTAGTCTCCAGAATGGAGAGACAACGCAGTACTGTTCTCCTATGCTCAAGTAGGTAAAGTGTTGCAGCTGCCCTAAAAACTAATATAGTGTGTTGTTTAAGGTCTGCCCAATAAAAAAGTCTACTTTTCTAGCTATGTCACATTGAATAAATCATGTTAGCTCTCTATACCTTCCGTTTACACTTTTGTAAAATTGTGAGTCTAACAGCTCCCTTCTTGGCAGTGGTTGTGAGATGTATGAGTTAGAGACGGACGTGTGTTCCATAAGCCTGGCACACCTGGGCCCACTGGAGGCCAGGTAAAGCTCCAGGTGGGAGCTAAGTGGAGTTAAATGGGCTACAGTCAAGTGCATCCTTCCCCAAACCGTGGTGGGAAACCCACTCACTCCTGGTTGTAGCATGAGGAATGGCTCCTCTGAGATAGAATACCTCTGCGAATACACAGCCTTCTCAAGTTGGATCTTATTTAAAGAGATACTCTTCCATTTCTTCCCTTCTCCCGCCTCCAGATCTCAGGAGACCGTGCCAGCTTGTATTTCAAGAGGTGAGAAAAGCAAATCTGTGAAACTGTGTCAGGAATCGGGACTAAATGAGTTCACGGACTGGGAAGGTTGCAAGCAAAGCTGTTCTTTCTCACGTCTTCAGCTCCCAAGGGGTTCTCCTGTCCCCTCATTCACTGAAGCCCATCGGGTACCTCCAGACACTGTCATCTCCATTCACTGCAGAGCCAGTGGCCAGGAGCAGTGTGTGTGTGGGGGGGGGGCACCAGGGAAGCCAGGGCAGACAGCTCACCTTCTGTGCACATGCAGTCATCGAAGCATTTGTTGTTGAGGCCTCGGTTGTGGGGTGTACAGAGATGCTCACGCAGGTCACAGCAGCTGCCTAGGACACAACAAGCCCACGAGATCAGCCCTCAAGCCACATCCCTCCCTGCCGCCCTACACATGGTCCCCAGGAGAAGAGACCCATTATCCAGGAGGCAGGGCGGGCCATCTAGCTCTTAAGACTTCTGACTGGAACCACACTTAGATGTTATGACCGAGGCACTTGGGTCAGGGGGCAGAGACGCCAGCTGCCTCAGTTGGGCAACCAATGGCTCATCAGAGAGTGAAGGGGGGTGGGAAAACCTCCTGGGGACAGTGGGAGGAACAGTAGGCAGCCACCAGGTATGGAGTCAGCTGGGAGCTGAGAGAAATCTCAGGGATCATTGACGGCTCTGTCTTTGCATAGATGAGAAATGATGCCCTAAACAGGCCCAGGCCCAATGTGGACACAATCTCAGTTGATTATCCAGCTAGCCCAAACCCAGACCTTTTCTTCCTGCTCAGAGCAAACACTGTTATTGTTTACGGCCACCAAGTTTGTGCCACTCGTGGGGACCTCACACGTGCAGAGTAGGGCTGCCCAACAGGGTTTTCAAGGCTGGGATCCTTAAGAAGCAGCTCACCAGGCCTTTCTTCTGAGGCACCTGTGGCTTGGTTTCAACTGTCAGTCTTTCCACTAGTAGATGAGTGTTAAACTGCTTGCCCCCAAGGGACCGCTGGAGTGGAATAAAGCAGCGTGCTAGGGAGCCAGCAGACCTGCTTCCTCCGTCACACTGCATTTGGATGCTGTTTGTAGAACAGATTGGAATGAACAAGGGCGGGGTGTGGACAAGTGTGCTCAGATCTCCTTGTGCAAAGGTGCTTGCCATTCCCCACCCCCACCCCGCCAGCAACGAGGTCGGTCCCTGATGGCTGCCAGATGTTAGCACCTTAGGAGCCACCTCAGCTTTCATGCTGAGGCCATTCTGTCTCCAGTAGCCCCAGGTAGTGACCGGTGCGCAGGCGCTATAGGCCTTGGCTACGTGAATGCGCCTCCTCTCACAGGTCAGCTCTGCTCTGGAGCGCCCCCTGTGGGCTAGTCTAGACTGTGCACTACAGTCTTGAAGGTTTCCTAGCCCATCCAGCTGACGCCTTTTATGACCTTTCCTCCACCTTCAAAACAAACCTCCTGCTTTTTTAACTCCATCTTGGCTCCTGCTTCCAAGGAGGCCCCAGTGAACCCAGCAAGGGCCAGCCGGTTGAGGTTAAAACCTTAGGTGCGGGGGTGGGGCGGGGGGGATTGTATACCAATGAAGGAATTTTTCTTTTACTTTTCAAAAAGAAGAGCGAACTGGGGGGCGGGGGAGGGAGAAAAATGCAGCAATGAATGAATGGAAATCCAAAATCTCCGTAAATGTTCATTAAAATAAATAAGTTTTTTAAAAAAACCCTTAGGCGCTTGTCCGCAAAGGGTCTTGTCGGTGATGTGCTGGCTGCTAAGTGCTGAGGGTGGAGATGCTGGTGAAGCAGCCCCTGAGAGCTTTCCAGAGTCGTGAGGGCACAGGATGGACCAAGCCCTGCCAGGTTTTCATGGAAGCAATCAGGAAAGGGGACCAGGTAGGTACAGCGCTGCTTATGGGCCACTTCTTAGCTGTGTGACCTTGGGTGAGACACTTAGCCTCTCTGGGACTCATTCAGTGTCTTTGCCTGAAAACTGCAGGTGTGTGTCTTCCTCTAGGTGGCTGTGGGAATTACATTAAGTCATGTATGACAGTGACATTAATGCCAGCAGTAACAGTTACCGTTGACTCTAAATCATGGCTACCCTACGTGTGTCGGAGTAGACCTGTACTCTGTAGAGTTTTCAAGGGCTGATTTTTTCAAAAGTAGATCACCAGGACTTTCTTCAAAGGCACCACGGGCTGCACTTGAACCTCCAACCTTTCAGTTAGCAGCTGAGTGCTTAAATGCCACACCACTCAGAGACCAGTAAGTGGTGGTTGTTGTTGTTATGTGTTGTTGAGTCACCTACAACTCATAACGAACCTATGTACAGCAGCTCTGAAGCCTGCCCTATCCTGAGCCAGTCTCACTGATTATGACACACTAACCACCATCCCCCTCCACTGTTCCAGTTACTGTATCAATTCATCTCATCTGGGATCTTCCACTCCTGTGCTGTCTCTCCACCCTTCTGAGCATGATGTCCCTCCTGGTCACGTGCCCAAAGTATGTGAGACACAGCTTCAAAATCCTAGCCTCCAAGGAGAAACTTGCTTTCACTCTCTCCAAGACAGACCTATTTGTTTTCTTGACGGTTTGTGGTATGTTGGTGTTGTTGATTGCCATCAAGTTGAGCACAACTCATAGCGACCTTATGAACAAAAGACTTAAACATTGTTCTCTAATCATTGTCATTTTTCCAAGTTCATAGAGTTTCCAGAGGCATGTTGTTTAGGAAGTGGATGCCATTCCTAATTCCAAAAACTGATGTTATTATTTGTCATCCATAAAGGATCAGGGAGCCTCAGCCCTGCTCATATATCTAGGAACACTCACTCCTATCTCCTTTAGGTTCTCCTCTCAGCGCCCCAAGGAGCAACTTGGACATGCATGCTGATGTGCTAGGTACCTGGTAGGCAGTCTTGGTGATGGTCGCACGGATCTCCTTCAGCTGGTGATGTCTCATTGCCATCATTGGAGAGTTTACCACGATGCTTCTCTGGGGACAAGAAGATCTGTTGTCAGAAACTGAGGTTGAACAGAGGAGTTGATGTCCCAGGCTCAGGGATCAGATGCCCAGGTTACCCCTCCCAGCTCTGTTTCAGACAATGCACCTCTCTCTGCCTATGTGTTCTCTTCTCCAAAATGAGATCAGCAATATTATTGAACTAATAAGGGTTGGGATTTTTTCAGCAAAAAATTAATTGATAGATGAAAAGCACTTGACCTATTATATTTTTTAAATGAAACTTGCTCTTGAATATAGAGTAGCTAGAGTGAAAGGAAGAGATGAAGTAAAAGAACTAAACAGATTTCAAAGGCCAACTTGAGAAGACAAAGTAAAGCATTATTATAAATGTATAAAGATCTAGAGTTAGCACCACAACAAGATAAAGGTAAATAACCCAATTGAAAAATGGACACAGGATATGAACTGACACTTCACCAAAGAAGACATTCAGGTGGCCAACAAGCACATGAAGAAATGTTCAAAATCCCTAGCTCTAAGAGAGATGCAAATCAAGACAACTATGAGATATCCTCTCACCCCAGTAACAATAGCAGAATTTAACAGAGCAGCAAACATCAAGTGCTGCACCTCTTAATACTCATCCAACACCGATCTTGCTGCTTTACTGAGTCCAAAATCCGATGTGATAGCTCACACACCACACAGAACCACCCACACTGAAGTTAAAATTAATATAAAAAAAAGTGAAGGAGACTTGAAGCATTTCCTGATGAAGATCAAAGATTATAGCCATCAGTAAGGGTTTCACCTCAATATAAAGACAATGAAAATGGTTACCATCAGACCGACAAGGAACATGACAATAAATGGGGAAGAAATTGAAGTCAAGGATTTCATTTGACTTGGACTCACAATCAATGCCCTTGCAAGCAGCAGTAAAGAGACCAAGGAACACACTACAATGGGCCAATCTGCAACAAAAGACCTTCGTAAAGTGTCCAAAAGCAAAGCTGTGACTTTGATGACTAAGGTATGCCCGGCTCAAGCCCTGGTGTTTTCAGCCTCTACATGTGCTTGTGAAAGGTAGACAACGAATAAAGAACACCAAAGAAGAAGTGATGTATTTGAATTGTCATGATGGTTTATATACCACAAGCTGCCAGAACAACAAACAAACTGGTCTTGGAAGAAGCACAGAATGTCGGGAGCTCTGGTGGCCTAGTGGCAAGAAGCTGCACTGCAATCCCAGAGATATGTGGTTCGAATCCACCAGATGCTCTGCTGGAGAAGGAGGGGCCATCTCCTCCTGTACCAGTCAGATCCAATTTGAGGGTACACACACAGAGAAAATAATAAAAATAAAAAAAAGAAGTAAAGAATGTCCCTTTTGAAGTGAGGTTGCAAGATGACAAAGAAAAGGAGAAACAGCGGTTGTGCCAAAAAAGGGCCGCAGCCACTTGCCATCTATTTGCTGCATGGACTGCACCCATCGCATGCCCAAAGACAAAGCAATTAAGAAGGTCGTAATTTGAAAAATAGTAAAGGCAGCTGCTGTCAGGGACACTTCTGAAGTGAGTGTCTTCGACGCATGGGTGCTTCCAAAGCTCTATGTGAAACGGCACTACTGTGTGAGTTGTACCATTCAAGGCAAGGAGATGAGGAACCGCAGGTGCTGCCCCACGACCTGGAGGGTCGTGCCCATGGAAGGGTTTGATTGCTTAGAGGCTGAAGGAAACACTCGTCTGAAAAGAAAATGGAAATGATACTTTTTTTTAAAAAAAGAAGTGAGGATGCATGGATTTTATCTCATGTACTTAGGGCTAGTTGGGGGCTGGTAGGGGGGTGGCCATGTCATGGTTGGTAAAGCAGAGGTCAGCAAGGAAGAGGAAGACAATGAGATGAATGGACACAGTGGCTGCAATAATAGGCTTAAGCATCTTAATAATTGTGAGGACGGCATAGGATGGGGCAGTGTTTTGTTCTGTTGTAACTAGCTGGACAACATCTAATAACAATAACAAGAACTTAATAACATTTTCCATTTTGGATGCTAAGTGGTACCCAGTTTGGACTTGATGGCCTTCTTCCCACCCCTACCCCCACCGTGGACATCAGACTGGTCTCCTTGGGAATGTGCCAGGAGGGAAGGGAGCCAGGCATGGGGTGGCAGGGTAGGCGAAAAAACCTACCTTTATTCTTGGTAGAGGGCCAGACCTCAGGCTTTAGATCTTCATAATCAGTCCAGTCGAACAAGGTCATATCCAGCGTGGGCATCACCTCCCCAGATCTGGGTTCCACCTGCAAAAGGGGGTGCAGAGGAGAAGATCCAGAGCCCTCTACCCACTGGAAGCAAGAGTGTGTGTCAGAGAGGGGAGCTGGGGTTCTTCAAAAGCCCCTCAGCCTCTGCTTGATACCCTGAAGTCCTAGCCCAAAGGACATCACGACGGCCAGCTGGGGCTCCCACAGGCTTCAGAAGCCACTGAATTGGTGTCCTCATGCGGAGCTACCATCCACAGTGACAACTGAACACAGCAGTGCAGCCCAGTGCATTGTTCCCCACGTCCTCCAAGGAGCGGACAGTCCCTTGGACTCACTGAGTTGGGAAACTCAAACCCCACTCAGAGGAACTTGAACTGAACACAGATGCTCACTTTTCTGCCCATCCTCACCTGGTAAGCAGAAGTTAGCAGCTCTCTTGGCACCACCGGGGCCACTGTCAGGACTCAGCTCTCCCTACAGCCCTAGCCTGTAATAGCCTTGGGGATGCTGAAGGCTAGAGATTGGCTGGATCTGCACACAGCCATCTGTTCATAGGAGGACTTGGGCAGTAACAGCATTTCAAGGGCTGGGTTCCCAACAGATGGACTTTAGGGGCTTTGATGGTTGAGAGAATGATATTTTCTTCGGGAGAAGGTTTACTAGCTGGTTATTAGCCTCTCAAAGGGGTACAAGGCCCAGAAAGATATTTTTTTAAAAATCTATTGCTAGAGTAAAATATTTTCTTTTACCCACACATATTAGATGTTTTATTATGATTTGCATGTTTACAGAGAAAACTGGTTTTCTGTTCAACAGTTCGTACATTTTGACTTGTGTGTGATATTGATTGCAAGCACTCATCCCACTTCGGCTGTGTTTACCATTGCCACTCATACTCCTATCCCATCTCTTCCTGCCTCCAGCACTTTATCCCATGGCTAATGCTGCCCTCTGATTGAATATGGCTGATTGTTTTAGAGGTTTCGCGTTTCCTTGGTGTTATTGTGCACCTTGCAGGTTTGTCTAGAATGTTCCTTAGAACTATATATGATGAGACTTTGTCTTACATGCTTTGCACATGTGATCAGGAGGGAACAGTCCCTGGAGAAGGACATCATTCTTAGAAAACTAGAGGGTCAGAGATGAGAGGAACCAGAAAGAACTAGAGCTAAGAGCCTTTTGCTCAAGTTTGTTGAAAAACTAGATTTGAGGGGTGGGAGAAGCCAATATTGGCAGGACTGAGAACTTGTGACACTGGCCTAAAGCCATGAAGCTCAAGGCTGAGGCACCTGCAAGCACATTTTGGAAGCTGTCCTGACTGTATTCTGTTGTTGTGTCGTTGTTGTTGTTGTTAGGTGCAGTCAAGTTGTAGCTATCAACCTGAATTATAGCCTTTTGACTTCATCAGTGTGTTTCTGTGTGGTGCGTGAGGTATCACATTGGATTTTGGACTCAGTAAGGCAGTAAGATTGGTGTTGGGATGAGTAGAAAGAGGGGCAGGAGCCTAGGGGACATATCTGACCACATGGGAATTGGTTTTGCGTTATTGATATTGTTGATGAAATATTGACAACACAATTCCTTACCCACTAGGTTACAAAGAGGACAGCTCCCCTTTGTGAAGTTGGTAAAGGCCAGATATAGCCTTGTCCACATGGCCCTTGTTCTTTTACACCATGTATCTTTTACTTTCTCCTCTATTTTCCCACTCTAGCTGGATAGAGACCAGTATCTGCACCTTGGACGACTACTCAGTTTTTAGGATCTCAGTCACTACTCACCAAAGTAGAATGTTAAACACTGTCATTGTGGACTAGGCTGTACCAGGTGACCACCTTGATGTCACCTGAGCCCTATCTCTTTTTTTTACTAGTTTATTTACAAATGTGAATACATTGTTTTCCAGAACAGATTCTTCCAATTTCCCTCACCCCCAACCCATTAAATTATACAACCCCATGATTAAACTCCCCTCCCCCTGCATATCCTCATCCCTCTGCTCCCCACCCCCTTGGATCCTTATACTCATTCTACAATAATGGTGCTATACAATATTTGTCCTTGTAGGACTGAGTTCACTCAGCATAATGCTCTCCTGTCGCTCTCAATTTAGTCCATCTCTTTTTTATATTTTTATTGAGTCCCTTTTTGATGCTTTTATTGTTGTACGTGCCATCAAGTTTGAAATTAAGTTACTTTTTTTAAATGATTATTAAATTTTATTCATTTTAATGAACATTTACAGAGATTTTGGGTTTTCATTCATTCATTGTTGCACTGTTTTCTCTACCCTCCTCTCCAGTTCGTTCTTCTTCCCTGCCCCCACGAATGTCTGTTTTAATTGTCCAATTGCCACAGTGCTTGTCAAAGCCAGTTCTGATTAATCTCCTTTGTCAGTGTGTCCTTTGCCATTCCCTATCACTCCTCCCTGAGAGAGGAAATTAAGTTACTTTTATCTGACCTTGCAGCAAATTTTCAGAGAATATATATTTCACAGGAAGAGAGGGCCTACCTTTTTTTCCTGCAGAGCAGCTAGTGGATTTGAACTTTGGATTGACAACACAGTTCCTTACCCATTGTTGTTGCTATGTGCTGTCAAGTCAACTATGATACATAGTGACCCTATGCACAATAGCTCTGAACCCTGCTCTATCCTGAGCCAGTATCACTATTTTTGACACACTTACCCTCATTACCCCAGTTACTGTGTCAATCCATCTCATCCAGGGTCTTCCTCTCCTGTGCTGTCCCTCAACTCTTCCAAGCATGATACTCTTCTCCAAAGACTTCTCCCTCCTGGCCACATGTCCAAAGTGTGTGACACAGAGTCTCAAAATCCTTGCCTCCAAAGAGCAGTTTGGTTTCACCCTCCTCAGGACAAACCTCTTAGTTCTCCTGGCAGTCAATGGTTCAATAATCTTTCTTCTCCAGCACCACAACTCACAGGCATCTACTCATCTTACCCATCTACCCATTAGGTCACCACAATTGATCCCTTGAAATGATTTTATTTGAGAAACATTCAAAGTCACAAAAAGGTACAAGGACACTGTGATTAATTCCTGCATATCCTTAATCAGATTCCCCAGTCCACCATCTGTCTGTCAGTTTGTTGCACTGTGGTAACTTGACTGTTGCTATGATGCTGGAGGCTATGCCACTAGTATTTCAAGTACCAGCCGAGTCACCCATGGTGGGACAGGTTTCAGTGGAGCTTCCAGACTAAGATGGGACTAGAAAGAAAGGCCTGCAGATCTACTTAATTAGCCAATGAAAGCCCTCTAGATCATGGCAGAAGATTGTACAATAGAATGCTGGAAGAGTAATCCCTCAGGCTGGAAGGCACTGAAAATACAGTTATGTAGCAACGTAAGGCCAATATGAATCAAAACTGTCTAGTGACAACCAACAACAGAATGCTCCTTGGAGGCAAAGGTGGCAACGCTTAGCCTCTCATACTTTGGACATGTTGCTACGAGAAGCTACTCCTCAGAAAGGGGCATCATACTTGGAAATACAGAGAGTCAGCAAAGAGTGGAAGACCCCAATGAGATGGATTGATGCAATGACCGCAGCAATGGGCTCAAATGTGTCAGAGATGACGACAATGGCACAGGATAGGACAGGGTTCAAGTGTATTGTTTACAGTCACTATGAGTTGCACATGACTTGATGGCACATACAACCATAGATTGACTGATGGTTAGTAATTTTCCATGATCGAGTTC